TCCCCCCCCACCCCCACCATTCTCCAACACGCCAATCGCTTCCTGTCAGGGACAGACTCCCGGCCCCTCAGCCTGCTTCCTCAAAAAGACCAGCCACCTCCAGGAAAAAATAACTTTTGGTTTCAATTCCTGTTTTCAAGAAGGGAGAGAGGTGTGGAAGCAGCCCTTGGGGCTGGGGGGTAGGGGGGGCGGTCAAAACCACAGTCCACAGCGCGGTCCACAGGGCCACCATCAGCGCTTGGGAACATGAACAACCTCCCTGCCCCCACCGCACGCCAGCAGAAGGGGCTTCCTGGTGTGGGGAGGGCTGGGCAGTGGTCAGCGTGGCGTGGCACCGGGGACCTTCCCAGCTCTGGAAGATGCGGTGCAGCTCCAGGGGAAGTCGCCCCAGAGACAGGATTCCTTCATTCGCTTATTCATTCATAAAGTATGCTCTGGGCATCTGTTCTCTGTCAGGTTCACTATGCTCCCTGGGCCGGATGCTGGGGACAGAGGCACGAACAAGAAAGACACGGTCCCCACCTCCGTGTAACTGGAGAGACAGACAGGAAAGAACAAGTTAAACAAATCTACAGAAGGTCAGTACGTGCCCTGAAGAAAGGAGGAAGGAGAAGGATGGGCCGCCTTTGTGGTCAGGGAATCCAGGAAGACTTCTCTGCGGAGGTGACACACGAGTTGTGTTGCCTTGAGTGACAGCACCGGCCGCACGGAGGCGTGGGTGATGCCGAGAGCCACAGGCAGAGAGAACAGCAAGTGGAAAGGCCCTGAGGTTCGGGTACACAAACTCGAGGTGTGCAAGGAAAGGTCGCCAGCATCGGTAAACCTCCGTGCCGGGTGGATCAAGAGGAAGCGAGCAGACAAACAGAATGGAAGATGGACGCTTCACGTGTCCGTTGGGACGAGGGAGTGGGGCACACGATTGATTCCCATACCTTCGACAGCTTCGAAGAAAGGGACAAGTTCTTTGACAGACATCGATAACCAAAACTGACGCAAGAAAAAACAGATAGCCTAAGTAGCCCTAATAATAATATTATTAAAAGGGGATCAATACCACATCATATATCATACACCCTCTTCCTGTAATAGCCTACCTAGTCTGAAGATGTCAAATAGAGATAGCAATTACAGTAATTAAATTCTTTAATTAAAAAAAATATATTTTATTTATTTTTGAGAGACAGCATGCAAGCAGGGGAGGGGCAGAGAGAGAGGGGGACAGAGGATC